TTTTAAATTAAATTTTAATTAAATAGAACTATGTAGTTTAAGATTAAAACTTTAATTTATTTTGAGAGTTAAAATTAATACGTACTTCTTTTATAAAATTTTAATATGATATATTATTATAAAATTAATTTTTTATTCAAATATTTATTTATAATATTATATAAATTTACTCATATTATATTACAATATTAAATTTATAAATTTTATATGATATTATAATTATATTTTTAAATATTTTAAATATTTTTAAGATAATAATTAAAAAAAAAAACTAAACTAAACTAAAAAGAAACTTTTTCAAAGGTAGGCTACTCGAAGCAAGCAATTTGGCATAAACGCCCAATGGATGGAGTGGTGTGGTGGAAGTCTAGAATTGAAACCTTACTTCGAGATCAGTACTGGGCAAATATACTTTGTTTAGAAAAATGAGCAATGTGTAATATAAAATTATTTTAGAATAAAATAAAATGTCTTCTCCACTTGACACAAACCCATTTGCTTTGAGGATATTTGTTGTTGTTGGTTAGGTTAGGAGTAAATTTGTTACCAAAATTTCATTAATTTAGTTTGCTTTCATGGGAAGCATCGGACTCTCATAACTCACTTTCTACGATTAATATTGTAACTCGTGTCAAGGTTGGTTTGGTGAGCTGAAATTTGGTTTATTTTTCCACATATTTCTTTGGGGAAATTGTTCAGAGAGCTTGCTTCTCTTGCTCTTGCTAAAACTGCTTACGTTTATAGTGGTTGAAACTTGAAACATTTAGATTTACCATTTTTTTTTATCTTAGTGTAGGGTCTGGGTCCTTCTGGAAGACAAGGAGTTTGTGCTGTTGGTGGTGTTTTTGCTACCAAAGACTCAGACCTTCGCAAATTGGAAAGAAACTCATAATTACAGAGACTTAATAATGCCCCCGAAAGTCAAGGTAGGGCATGAACGGTACCTACACTGTAAAAATGATTTAATTTAATAAATTATTTATTAATTTTTATATTTTTTAGTTTTATTTATTATCTTTGAATTCTTTTAATTTTGTTTATTATTTTTTATATTTATTTTAATTTCATCTAATCTATTATCTTTAACAAAAATCTTTTTATTTTCTAAAAAAATATTTAGTTTTCTAACTATATATTTTTTAATTTTTTAGTTTTTAAATGCGTATTCACCATAAAAATAATTTTTATTTTTATCTTGCTAAATGTGTTTTTCAGAAAACTATTTTATAGAGTGAACTATATGCAATCCGTCCTATAAAATTATTTAAATGTCATTAAAAAATAATATAAGACAAAATTTAAGGACATTTAAA